TGTGGATGTTGCTGCATTATGTAAAACTATATGTTTCATTTTTTACATTTTAGAATTGGGTGCCTCGAGATTGTGTAGAATTTCTCAGTATTAGTTAATAGGTTGACACGAAGGCTGCTATTGCTATTGCTTAGCTGTATCTGACGTCAACGTCGTCCAAATGAATGACAAGGAATAAGCCTGCGAACTAGAAAGTCACAGAGATGTTGAACTTGTGATTTTTTTCTGGCCTACTGGCTCAGGACTAGTTTACACTACATACATTCCAGTGCTTTTTTTTATGCATCCAAAACGCATAGAAAGTAGTTTACATCATTTTCAATGGCATAGTGCTTGCAGTTCCAGTGCGTTCCTGTTCTAGAAAAAAAGTAGAACATGCTGCATTTTTCCTGCACAGAACTGTACTGGAGGGTATTGTGTGGGTATAGGATTATAACTTTTTTTTTTCTATGGTTAAACTGGATGGACTTTTGTCTTTTTTCAGCCAGACTAACTATGTAACTATGGAGCACGGTAAAAAGCATAAAAAATGCACCAGATCTCAGTACAGTAAAAAAAAAAAAATAGGAAAAAAAGAAGAAAAAATGCACATGCAGAAATGCATCCAGAATGAACCTGAAGTGTGTTTTTGTAATGTAAACTGGCCCTTAGAAAGTATTGAAGCCACTGGATCAGCATGACAGCCAGGTAACTAGGATTTTCAGAGAGAAAGGTAGCAAGGACATCCTAAATATTACCTTCGGTAAAGGTTTCTATTAAACATTTTGACAATGGTATCTATACATTTATGTTTGTATGTTTAATGTTCATGCTCTCTACATAGAATGGATATAACAAGATATATACAGACATGTTGGTGTGTTTCAGATTTTTTTGTGTTACAAGACATTAGCCATGTTCCATTTGTGGGATTGAATTTGCTGGTACAACAGTGGCTACTTGTTTCCCACCCAGGGACGTGTGAGTGACAAACCGGTGATGTGTTCTGGCTCCACGGAGAGGTGAGAAACTTTAATCAAACCTGCCTGCCGAAGACGGCTGCAGCAATAGACCCACAGCTGCGGGTGTGAAATAATACACTGCCAATCTAAGAAAAAGCATTTTTATTCAAATGAGGACACCAGACGCCTGGGCACAATCGCTCTCCTCGTAATTCTGAACAGGCTTGGGCAATCTGTGGCTTTCCATGGAACACCACGGCCTGCGAGAGAAGGCAGGGATATGATTGCCTACACCAGAGTATGGCTGCAAGGAAATGTAGAAATACAAATACCTATTTAAATGTATTACAGGACCTATTCCTTCTGATGTATGATAACACGCACCTATGCTTCCTTTTCTATCCGCCTAACGCAATTAGGTGACAATCGTCCTCTATTATTGTGGCACATGTTGCCACAGGTCAGATGAATGTCAAAAAACTGCCAGTGCAGATAAAGGACATCTGTAGATAAAATCAAACAGCTTTGACCAAAGTTGAATAATGTCCTTGTTAAAGGTGTAGGTCATTTACATACTTCATGAAGCCTGACTGGAAAACTTCTTGAACGTTGCTAAGGATGTTGCTAACAGGAGCCTAGCTGTTACTGTTCACCTACAATGTCAAAGGACAGAGCTCTCAAATGCTGAGTACAGAACGAGGAGGTGTGAGGACATGTGAGGGGGTTAGAATTAAAAAAAAAAGAGCTTGCTCCTGTGACTCTGAAGGCAAACAGTAATAGCTAGGGGTCTCTCTTAGCAACATCCTGAGGAGTTTTCCAGTCAGACTTCATCAGGTACGTAAATGGTCTACACCTATAGCAAAAGCATTATTCAACTTTGGTCAAAGCTGCACAGCTTGTTTTTATCTACAGACATCTCTTATCGGTATAGGCAGTTTTTTTTATAAACTTTCTGATCCGTCCTTTAAAGTAGCTGTGAGTATGCTGCACCTAAAGCAACCAAAAGCAAGTGATTGGTGTGTCCCATAATATGCTTTAAACAAATAAACGTTTATAAATGCCTGTACTGATGTGATGATGTGTCCATGACAGCTTGAGCTCACAGGAAGTGGTTTGAATGACACTGGGACATCAATCAACCCAGAGAATCAGTAGCAGAAATGGTACAAAGCAGAATCCCTTTGGGTAACAACACCTGGAAGGTGGTAGGCATTGTTGTAGAAGCCGCTAAACTATATTACAATGTAAGCAAAACTGTCATGAATGGCTTTCATTTCTGACCCAGTGTTTATTACTGTGATTGGTCACAAGTGATCACATGGTACAGGGTGCTGCGATTGGCCCAGGTACCAAGTGCTCACTTGTGACCAATCAAGCATCACAGCCAGTGGTGTATTTAGGTTTTGTGCTGCCCTAGGCAACACAAAAATTGTCAGCCCCACAGACACTGACCAACACCACCTCTCCTTCCCCCTCCCACGCTGAGAGCCTGGCATTGACCAACAACACCCCTGTCCCCCATCTGGGAGAGCCTTCCACTACCCCCCCCCCGGCGATAGAGAGAGAGATACCCATCTACACAGCTCCGGACATCCCCGGGAATGAGAGTAAGGCTCTACATACACCATCAAGCAGCCCAAAGCCTATCTCGGAACCCACCTGGTTCCCATGGTGCATATGTCCCTTCTTCCATCCCTTCTTCGGGGGGGAGGTGCTGTCCCCCCTGAAAACAGCCGCCCTAGGCAAGTGCCTTGTTTGCCTTGTGGTAAATACGCCCCTGATCACAGCTGTAAGCAAAATGTCGTAAATGAAAGCCATCCATGACAGTTTTGCTTACATTGTAAACATGTGATCTTTATGATTGGTCATAGTGATCATATGATACCCCGGCCACTCACAGAACAGGGGGCGTGCCAGTGTGCATGTACGTACCAGTGATGTACCAGTACTTTGCGGTGACTGCTGCTGCCGCCCGCCACAGTAAAAGTACTATGGGCAGGCAGCAAATGGTTAATGTTTGAGCAAATGCAGCATTATTTGTTTAATTTTGCTTTAAATCAGGGAGTCTGCTTATAACCACAGTAGTGTGATTGGACCCTCGGTGAAGTAAATGGTGTTTTGATATTTCTCTTTAACAAGTACATTAAAAGTGATGAGAGGTCTCCTGCATTCCACTCCACCCCGAGGTCCATGATTCACTGCTAATTAGAGGACCACACATCGGGAAGAAAAATCCACATAGACACCAACACCAAACGTAAAAATGAAACACTTGCGTGATTAGGAAGTTCTCTAGAGGTAAGATATAGATCTGTGACTCTTAGAATTAAATCTGGCTATAGAAAATAGAAATCTTGCAGCAGTGCTGAGCAGATTGCTTCTGTCAGCGCAGTTCTGCAGATTTCATTAATATTATTTAAAGTTGATACAGTTTTTAACACCCCTGTTACCATGCAAACTTCAGCTATATAACACATTGGTTTTCTATTATTCTGAGAACTAATTAACATGTAAGATCTCCGTCTATGTTCAGGGAAGGAAATGTTCTTGGCTGTAATATATTGCTCTGCAGAGGTGAGAAATGTCATTAGCTGCCACAGACGGCAGCACTGAATGTCTGGCCCACTTTAAAGAAAAAAAATATATATTTTGAATGAAAAAAAAAAAAGAATTTCATCTGAGGAACAAGCAAGAAGCATGTGATTTCTGTAATATACGGTACTAGTCTTATGTTCGGTTGGCCACGTGTGGGCAAATGAATACAAGTGATGCTACAGATTAGAGTACAGCTCACCATAGTTGGGCTATGAGGTCCACGTGTTCAGACGCCATGTTAGGTTTTTTTCAGTGGATACATTTTTGGAACACAGTCTAGAGCTGATTTTTAGGTGGACAGGAGGGGAATATTGCCACCACTTCAACACCGGTTTTTCAATCTCAAGGGGAATTTTACCTTGAAAAGTTTCACCACACTGACACCATGCTGTGATGTGCACCCGCTAGCTTGAACTGCCCCATTCAGCGGTAAGGTAAGCAACAGACATACACTCACCAGCCACTTTATTAGGTACACCTTGCTAGTACCAGGTTGGACCCCCTTTTGCCTTCAGAACTGCCTTAATTCTTCATAACATATATTCAACAAGGTGTTGGAAACATTCCTCTGAGATTTTGGTCCATATTGACATGAGTTACTGTTGCCTTTCTATCATCTTGAACCAGTTTGCCCATTCTCCTCTGACCTCAACAAGGCATTTTGGACCACACAACTGCAGCTTGCTGGATATTTTCTCTTTTTTGGATCATTCTTTGTAAATCCTAGAGATGGTTGTGCATGAAAATCCCAGTAGATCAACAGTTTTTGAAATACTCCCTGCCCATCTGGCACCAACAACCATGCCACGTTCCAAGTCACTTAAATTCCCTTTCTTCTCTATTCTGATGCTCGGTTTGAACTTCAGCAAGTCGTCTTCACCACATCTAGATGCCTAAATGCATTGAATTGCTGCCATGTGATTGGCTGATTAGCAATTTGTGTTACCACGCAATTGAACAGGTGAACCTAATAAAGTGGCCGGTGAGTGTAGGTATCCAACTTTGATGTAAATGTCTGTTTTTTATCACGGCGCTCTGACCTAGGCTGTTGTTGCAGCTCTGCTTTACCTAATAGGTTTTGCTCCCTTGTTAGTGATCAAGATTCTGCAGAATTTTGTAAGTGACACAAAAATAGAAGGTGAATGTAATCTTACCAGTTCTGTTGCAGTTGATTTATTGCAAATGATAGAATGGCTAGCATGACATGTTCCGTATTCAAAGTTTCTGATGGCTACCCCACTGGGACACCTTAAAGGAGCCTTAAAGTGTTACTAAACCCACGACAGTAAAATCAGTCTGTATATGCAGTAAAGCATGCTTGTTATACTCACTGTAGAACCTAAGGGGTTAATCCTCTGCATTCTGCAAAAATGCTGTTTGATCCTGACTTCTCTGATCCTCCCCTTCTTCCAGTGTCCCCCTATTAGCTGTTGATAAAACATATCGTGTGGAGACATTCTGTACATGTTCAGTTTGGTGTGTATTGCCAGAGGTTTTTTTTTTTCTTGGGAGCGTGCATGTGATCAGCACAGTGCAAATCAGCACTGTCCAGATAGAGGTCAGGGGTTCTGCATCCTCCTAGAGCAGAATGAAAACTCATCCTACAAGCTTTAACATGGATACTGATAGAAGTCACAAGGCTGCTCTAGCTACAGATGAGAAAAGGTATTTAACAGTTTATATTTACTAAAATAATTGCATTTCCATGTTCTGTGTACTGTGGGAGACCAGATTACGTGAATGCAGATTCCTGGGTTTAGAAACACTTTAAACTGAATATGCAATTAGAAGCATATACCTACCTTTCTCTTGCTCCCCTGCCACTCTGATCAACCACTGGGATTGAAAGGAAAGCCTTGTGTAAATTACACAAAGTCACTGGAATTGTACTACACAAGGCCAAGGACTCCCTTTGTGCCTGTGTGACAGCATTCTCATCACATGAGTCACATGCTCCTCCATATTACAAAATACTGAGTCTTAAATGGATCTGTGTGGTGTAAGCCGTGTACCGGGGTGGGCTCCCCAGGATACAGTGAAGTCAGAAACGAGGAAAGCAAACCCAACACCAGCTTTTGCCACAACAGAATTTTACTTAGATGTGGCAAATAAACACAAGCACAAATGCTGAGGACATACAATAAATTTACATACACCCAGCCCAAAGGCTGAGACCCTTGTGCTGCACAGCACGGCGCCTTCTGATGGATGAAGGTAGAAAGTGTAGTAATTTACCTACTAAGCAACAACTCAGCTGCCACACCTTACCCATTCTTACCCTAAAAGAGCAGGAATCAGTGTATGGGTGTACGGTATGGGCTAGCCTGCGGTGCAGCACAGCAGCTTACAATCTTACACAAATCTACAGTATTCCCCCTCCCATAACTGGTCCTGTAGCAGGTCTCTGAGTATTCCTTCTGAGCAAAACACCAGTCTGGCTTGAGTTTGTGGGATGTTATCAGCTCTCCAATGTGAAATGTCACTTTAAGTTATGGAGTCCTTCCAATGATCAGTAATAACACTTGTGGCCTGACACAAACAGAGACCCTAAGTAACTAACTATATCCCTGGACTCAGTCTCTAGGCGCCAACACTGAAATGAGCTGCATGCACGATCTTACCGACCCGGGTCTGCTTTTCATCCACTGGTGACTCTGAACAGAACAAATGTCTCTCCAACAAGCATGCAGTATCGCAGTGTATGTTGCTTTGTTCCTCTGCTCTCATCAGCATTCCTGGCAGCAATCTTCCTTTCTCTGAACTGGATCAATGTCTTGGACACGATCAGCTTCACCTAGCTACAGCTCTGGTTACGGAGGGATGCTCTCACACCTGGATGCCATCAGATTCTCTGCTCACACGGCTCCTGCATTCACCATCCTCTAAACATGGCTGCTGTCTCTCTCCTTCCTGTTCTCTAAAACTCTGTGTGAAAACCCCACCTCTTCATGAATATAGAAATATCTATGCAGTCTGAGGCTGTGTTAGGAAAACAGTAGCATCTTGTGGCTAAACCGCAGAATGTCACTCCACACAATAATTTACTGCACACAAACAGTGTTCAAACAATGAGAGCTGTTTCCCCATCTCACAGTGGGAGGGTGGGTGTTAAAGGAAATTAAGTATATGCGGCTAGGGAAGGAAAGGTTTAAGCAAAGTATGAGTTTGCCTAAAGGACTCAAAGATATTAGCATAGTTGCATATATACAAGGACAGGACAGTCCCCGCATTTTGCAAATTGTCTCATGGCCTTGTGGCCAGCACACAAGGAAAAGCTGCTCCTAGATAAGGCAGTACTGGACCCCTTTGCGGTACTTCTCTGCCCTACTTAAAGTGGTTCTAATGGCTAGACGTTTTTAGCTGAATGCATTCCCATCAGTAGCAGTATCACCTCCTCAACCCCTAAATATTTACCTGAGTCATCACTCAATCCAGCCCTGTGCCCATCTGTAATGGCTGTGTCTTCTCTTCCTGCATTCACAGGATAGAGAGGCAGCAGAGGAAGCCATTGGCTTTTGCTGCTGTCAATTAATTCCAGTGAGCAGAGAGCAGGAGGTGGGGCCAAGCTGAGCTGTGTGTGTGTCAATGGATGCACACAGCTTGGCTTGGGAGTGAGCCCGCATGTCTGCCCTCAAGGCAACTGGCTTGCCATGGTGGCAAACAAAGAAGAAGAGGTACCCAGAGTGCCGGTGGGGGACCCCCAGAAGAGGAGGTTTGGGGCAGCTGTGTGAAATTCCATTGCATAGAGCAGGTAAGTATAACATGTTTGTAATTTTAGAGAAAAAAAAAAATAACCCTTACAACCACTTAATCCACCTCAACACCTCCATACATATACTGCATATGGTCTGTTATTGGGGGGTGGTTCTACTAGGATCATGGCTGCAGCTACAGCCATAATCCTAGTATTAGTCTTTAGGGTAGACGATTCCCTCCAAAGTAAAAGTGGTTTGAGTGGCTATATGGCCGCTCATTGAAGAGTGTCTGGTTGGGACTAGAAACTGAACAGTTGTCCTGAAGCATAGAGATGTCTGGAGGAAACTGGGGGAAGTTCAGCTGTCATGGAGAGACATTGTGAAATTAGACCTGAGCCAAGTTCTAATACACAACAGAAAGACAACCTCTAGACTGGTTATTGGAGCTAGAGTGCATGGACTGTATCTTGTGTGCCTGGTGGCCACTGTACTGTCAGGGCAAGAACCAGTTAACATCAGCGGGTCCTACAGCGGTAGCACTACAAAAGGCAATTCGCAAATGTCAACTAATTACCAGCATTCATACTTGTATCTATCTCGGAGAAAGATCTGACTTCTGTCAGATCATATCTGGGGAATATTTACATAACGTCCTCTGCTCTACAACACAAGGCCTTCTGACATGTAAATTATGAGCAGGGAAAAGAAAAGAACAGCATTGTTCTCCAGAGTGGTCACTGGATCCAAAGTGTGAAAACCGCATGCTGAAAAGATGCCTTTTGTGTTCAGTGCTGTGAGCAGAGAGCTGTGAGGGATAGTTGGTTGCACATTACCACTTGTAGAAGTCACTGGGCTTGCCAAGCTTTCATCTCTACTACATGGAAACTTTCATGCACCAATTTCCCTGTTCTCATAACTGGCTGTGCTTAAACAGCACTTTCTACTCCAATTCCTTTTTTACTGAAAAGCACTTCTAACGATTGAATGATAATACTGACATGGAGTCCCACAGAAACTGAGCTGTGATGTAAAGCAAACCTGTCACACCTGAAGCTAGATAGCAGTATTGCAGAGCTGAGTCAAACAAGCAGGCACGATTTAAAGTGTTTTGATATACGCTAAATGGACTTTTACAAATGAAAAATATTTTTTTTTTACCTACACTAACAACTACAGTAAAATGCTATCATTAGGGTTTGTAATGGCACCAACATCTCATTGTGGCGTCTTTAAGAGGTTTTTGTGTTCATTTCTCACATTTCACACAACACATGTGTGGATTGATTCATAGTAAAGTTTTTTTGGAACTGGGCAAGTGGCCAGCATGACATTCAAGTTACTAGTAACTATACAAAATCAAAATGTCAAACATTGCATGGATCTGTCATTTTGAAAAATTCAATGATAGAACTTGAATACGGTCAAATTGGAGTTTGTTTTTGACCCTAGTGATGTGAAAATTGGAGTGAGCAAGAGAAAATTTTTCTCAAGTGAACTATATTCAAACTGTGAATGTGGTTTTCGTTCTGGAAAATAATACATACAGTATTGTAATGGAACCTGTTAGATACATCTGAGATTCCATTCAAATATTTGACCTTGTACAGTATTTGCAGCTGCTGACTTATTTTTTTTTTCATAAAGGCTGAAGAACCACTTAAAAAAATCAAATAAATTTTGTGGATTCCTGTAACCTAGCTAGTTTAGCTTTTACCAGGTATTGAGTGGGATAAGGGCACCATTTTTAAATTTTGTTTTATTTGACATTAACATCTCATGTTCCCAACAGAAATTAGACCATCACTTCCTTTATGGCACCAGATTTAAGCCTGCGCTAAACTTCTGAATCTGTTTAGTTACTGTGCGGAAACAATTCCAGTTCTTAGTAAGAGCACATTGATATGTTATGTTACCTACCTCCAGGAAATCCATCCCATATTTCCAAGTAATCGTATCGGCATGCCCGGCCTGGGCTATTGGAGTCTGGTTCAAGTTCAAATCCTTCAAACTCCATGATAATCTCTGACATCTTTTGTGCAAATATAGTGTACGTACATTCTATAGCATTGGGGTACTTTTCTGGGTAGCCAGGAGATTTTATCACTCCGAAGGGTGCTGTAAAATTGCGGGAGCATTCTGGACCTACAAAAAGAAAAAATATGCAAGATTAGCTGAAACCTTCTCTACAGAGACTGGGGATTTCATTTCATATTTCCACAGTTCTCACAACTAATTGCAAGCAACAAGGGTTTTGTATTAGCACATCTCACAAAGCCTGCTAGTCGGATCTGAATTTCCATTTGTACCTAGCAATTTAAGCAGAAGAATTGTGACAAATATTAAGTCATGTGGGAACAATAAAAATTCAACTTGTAAAAATCTTGACGTATCCCTCGAGATATAATTACAGCCCCTTGAATCTTAAATCTTTAAAGCTGGAGGTTGACAGCCATTTATTTTTGAATTACGGAGAAGACTTTGCACAAGTGGGCGATGTAGAGGGAGAATTTTTCTCTTACGTTTGTGCTGCAGAAAACCTCTAACTGTGCCAGATGTGACCTCTGCCTTATGACCAAGTTAATGTGAAAGGCAATTCTTGGTCGTATCCAGGGTGAACGAGTGTTTCTAAACAATGTTGACACAGGTGGAGCAGTAAAGTGTTTTCTATTGGGCGCTGGCATGATAAACTGTCTGATTACAGTCGGTGTGGCCACAGGTCCGTTCACACTGGTGTTCATATGCTAACCTTCTGCAAACTTCGGGAGAATTAGCTGGTTTAGAAAGTTCTCACATAAAACAGATGAAGTCAATGCATAAACTATCCATATATCTTGTTTATCCACATCAAAGCAGGAGCATGTCAGGTTGCATAAATTACATTTCATGTATACCAACACAACTTAGTGCAACTTTGCAAATG